ACAACTGCACAGACGGCGATGAATGGCGTGTGCACTTCAGCTGCGCAGCGATCGATCAGCGTTATAACTCAGTAAATGTCGTCCGAGTAACCCGTAGCTGAGGGAGATGCTGAAAATTCACTTAGTCATTGATTTTGTATATTCGTGAAGTCTAATCTCCGAATGATCGGTTTCTCTCTTATTAATGCCTACTTTCTTCAGGGAAGTATTTTTTCACAGATCCACGTCCCAATGATTTTATTGGAGATTGCAGTCTGTTATTGGATATGCAATAAATCAGAACTTGATACGGTAGGCTAGGATTTTAAGCTAGTTTTACTGCACCGTTTTACAATATAAATGAAAGCATAGAGTTATCATTTTTCTGCAATAAAGAATTTGCATGTACGGAGTAAGAGACTTAATTAACAAACATGAAAGCAGCTTAAGACTTCGACTTCTTTGTCACCTGATGAAGAATTGAGCGACATATTGATTGGAACAAGCAAAATTGGGATGAAGCAAAGGCAGTTCGGCCATTGTGTTGCAGCCCAGAATAATAAACATCGAGACATTAATGCTTGTTGCTTCTTTGAGCGTGTATATGTATACATCTTCTTTGCGGCGTTATGAAGAAACCGCCGAAGAAGAGGTGACTGTCCACGAACTCACCGACGAAAATTCTGAGCGAACCAAGTTTTACAGACCTGTCACCTGGAACCCTTCATTCCGCCAAAGTTAAGGACAATCGGACTTTCTGTGTAAGACGCTTAACGAGCATGGCTCGTAACCAAAACCATTTGCCAAGATCGAATGCAATGGCTAGTACAAACAAACATGTCTCCAGACGTGCTGCGCCCTGCTCAAGTCTCGGGTTACATCCGCGATTGACGGATTGGTACCCAGTAGGCTGATGTCACCCAGTTGCAAGACCTTGTCTCAGGTAGGACGACAAGCTATGAAATTGTGAAGCTACAAATATGCGCATATTGCGGTAATGACGAACATAACAGTGTATTGCTGATAGCAATAAAGTAATGCGGATATTATGTATTTATTACGTATTCAGTTATAGGACTCATGGACGTCTAATTGCAATAGAACAGTGCGAAGAGTTAGTCCCCAGGATTGCGTATCAGCATTTTATATCTGGACAGTACTCATTTTTTGGTGTTTTGCATATGCATATGTATAAGGTGGACTTGTAGAACACCATTGATACCGAGAAACGACTGCTCTAGGCAATAGATCAACGCAGCTGATCTAATATCATTCGATCACAGCTTGCTTTGGTTTTCGTCGGTTTATTCATACAGTTTCATAAACCGTAGATATGAGTTGCATTAAACTAACTTTGACTCTGAAGTGTTCTGGTTGAGTACTGTTAAGTACTTTGTCGTGCAGCTGATGCACTCTTCCCGAATTTCATCCTAAGTGATCACCTATATGCCCTGCCTTTTTTATTGTGATACCATGTACTGATTTTCATATTGAACAGTCAGCTCTCTTCTGGTTCAAGGCGAAGTGCAGCCACGAAGGGCACAGTCTCTCACCTGTGTCATTTTGGTGTAGCAACTCCAGACTTCCACGTTCCTGTTTTGCGCATTCAACAACTTACTACCCGTTTCTCAGCTGGATGCGTCGTAGCAATATGGGCTAAATTTTTTGCTCAGCGGAGTTAGCGGTTAAGGCAGAAATTGCTCTGTTTCTTGAAGTTAGAAGCTGATCTTCTTGCCACTCTGCCACAACGCGCATATCAAGCGGCAGAGTGTGTTACGCATAGCTATGCTGCTTCAGTTGTTCGGGTGTGATCTGAAATAATTTCAAATCATTCACCAGATGCGTTTGATGTATACTTTATGAAGAAACACTACAACTATAATTTGTTCGTGTCGCATTTATAATTAGTTTTTCCTGAAAGTCATTAATCTTGGACTGTTTTCTTTCACAAATTAATTAAAAGTTTTTGTCTTTTTACATGACACCGGTTTCTTTGCAATGCCGGTCTCGTCACGGAGTCAAGCCTAGGCTATAAGAGTTGAATCATGCTAAATAGCAGGGAAATGTCACTCACTGTTGATAAAAGTTCAAGATGTTTAAACATTGCTGATGTATTTTCGAACCTAAAAGGCAGCCTTGTCTTCTAAATGCCCAGCCTAGATTGTAAAGGAGAAACCGGCAAGGAAGAACAAAGGATGGTGATAAGAAAGAAAAAGGTCAGAAATAAAATATGAAGCAAAAAACAAGATAAAATAAGAGAAAGAGAAGCAGTAGAAATCGATAGGAACGAGAGAAGACAATCAGAGATGAAGACGAAGAAAATAACTGAAAGATGAATTTTTCTCTTTTTCTACCCTCTTGACTTACCGTAACGTCATATTCTCATTATATAAAATAATAGAACTAGCAGCAGCAATAATAATGACGAAAAACAGGACGCTTTATGGTCCTGAATGTTGCTAACTGTAACTGCGTCTAATAAATCTCTTCTGCTCTAAATCTTGACCCAGTGGGAGACTCGGAGACCGTGAAATCAAGAATAACGGCTGCGATGCAGCTCTATTTGACTTGAGATGGTGTTTGCTGCATCTTTATTTTCCGGATGCACTGAAACCTGTTCAAAATCTATAGGCTTGCTCGACTCGTAGTTAATTGAGAAGTGGGTCTTATTTATTAACTTTGCAGTCGAATTTTGCTTTTCATCCTGTTCTTGTTGCTAATGGGAAATAGGTGAAGGACGATAATGGAATTCAGGGTTTATACACGATGCAACGTCGGCGTTCGATGTCGTGACACATCAACGTAATTCTGCAGCTGCTAAGTTGTTCCCAACCTCCATGTATGTGTCACGAGTTCTTGAGACGGCTTCATTTATCACCAGTGCTACATGTCGAAGTGAGTTGCTTGCTTAAGGGAATTGTCGGTTAGCAACTAAAGTCTGATGGAATTAAACCTTTTACCTCTGACTTGTACCATCGACTTATCACAACTTTTCTCTGCCATAGAATAATTTTATATTGTCTATTAATACAGCTTGATTGCTTGATATGATTGTGGCAACTTGATTTCTTGTTTATTTGATATAATGTCTGTTTTTATCTTATATCTCTTTTTAGATGTATCTATTTTGGTATTGCTTTTCCTTGTTGCTCGATTTCGTGCGATGCTCAGTTTCTAATGATCTCCCGCAGTGCACAAAGGTAAAATAGTTTTTTTATCCAACGAGTATTACTTTGAGGCAATAGGTTGCAAAAGTTGTAAAAATTTGCATGAATATCAGACGGACAGTCGAACAGTAACTTAGTCGTTCTGTCTGGTGCTCAGTCACTCATTTACTCAGTCACTTAGTCGAACAGTCTTTCTGAATTCTCAGGCTCAGTCCGTTTCTCAATACATCGAATTTATTCATTTATTAATTAATTCATTTAAAGATTCACCTTTCGTTTCTCCTTTCGTTCATTTGCCCATTGCCTCGTTCATTCCTTCATACCAGTGATTACCGCGATGCCGATGATTACTCTGGTGGCTGCAATGAAGAAGATAATTATAGTCATCGTTATGATCATAATGATAATATTGTTTTTTATAACGGTGACAATGATGTTGTTGATTCTGAAAAAGTGATGTTTGTGACGATGATCAAGACGATGGCATACTGACGGTTATGGTTGAAATTCATATACCTTGTTCTGTCAGAAAGCTATGAATGAACCTCTCTGATATGGTTTATGTCCAAGGGTGTAATTTAAAGTCATTTCCATGCTTACGAATGTTTCTTACACTGAATACAGTTTTTGCTCTGAGGCTAAAGTGTTTGGCTACAGTTTCTTACATTGTGCTTGTTGTCTTTCAGACACTGAGTTGTTAAAATTTTATTGAGCTGTGACCTGCATTAACTACGCCGTAATCATCTAGCAGCAAGACAGATCTGGCGCAGTGCCGTGGACCAGATTTAGTAGAATCGTGCTTGTCTGTCATTATTGTTACATCCTGTCGACTGATGTTCGGTGCAAGCAACCAGCTGCTCAGCAGTTGAGGATTTTCGTACTTTATGCCGTCCGTAAAATTGCACAGGGTTTTGAATCATGTTCTCGTTCATGTTTTGAATGGCCCCCATATCTGTCTAAATATTTAACGGGATTTTACGCTAATGAATTTAAGTGGAGATTATGAAGGTCGATTTTTAAGATCTTCTGTTTGAAAAAAAAAACATTACAAAACTGTTTTTCGACATAGGTAAACGAAGTTCGAAC